AAAAAAAAAAAAAAAAAAAAAAGAAAAGAAAAGAAAATTACAATGATGCCAAATTCTATCACCTAAATGTAGCTGGCTACTCTTTGTTAGACTGTATCTGTGTTAGTTGTAGAAGTATTTTCTCAGCACATTGTGGATGTGGCTGTGTATCTGCCCCGTACGTGCACTGTGATTACTATCATCATTTGAATGCTTCTGCAGTACTTTACTCTGTAAAGGTGTAGGAGTGTGGCCTTTGCATTGCTGGTGGCTGCTGGCTGCTGGCTGTTTCCCTGTTACGGGCGGCGCGGGCGCGGCAGTGGGTGTTTGCATTGTACTTTCCCCCTCATTTCTTTGTTCTTCAGTGTTAAGGCTCAACCCAGGATCTGGGCGTGCTAGGCAAGCATTCTGTGCTCGAGCTGCGTCCTCCACTCTCTGTGCAGTTTTGAACTACAAAATATGTAAACATATTCTAACATTTCATTAATTTATTTTTTATATCTATGTATTTATTTTGTCTTTTTTGAGACAGGCTCTCTGTGCAGTTCAGGCTGGCCTGGAGCTCACTTTGTAGCCCAGGCAGGTCTCTTACCTCCTGAAGCTGCTCCTCCCGCGTGCACCACCACACCTGCATAGTCCATTACCTTAGAACATTGTGGGCGAATTATCCCTGGCCTGGTGTCTGTGCAGAGGTGATCATACTTGTCAGTTCAAGCACTTATACCCATCATACTCTGGAGCATTTCTATCCATCTGGGTAAATCTGTACACAGTGTATAGAATCCTCCTCTTTTTTTTTTTTAACTTAATGAAAGCTTTAGTTATTGGATCGTTTTCTTTTTTCATTTAAACTTTTAGTGACCTGTGTTATTACCTGTTATGTACTTTTGAATACAGCACAGGGTTTTACTGCGTTTTTCTTTTTTCTTTTTGTACTGGGGATCCAACTCAGGACCTTGTGCTTGTCAGGCAGGCAGCGATGCCGCTGAGCTATCCCCTGGCCCCAACAGCATTCTGTAAGCTGAGTGCCCGCAGTTCACTTCGGGTTCCCTTCGCTGGGGGACACTGAGGTTGCATCTCGTGTTTTATTGCTACAGTGAAACAGCCTTGGCGATGCTGCCTCTGGCACCCACGGGACGCTGAGCAGGGCAGTGTGTGAGCCACGTGGCTTGCACATTTTACGTTCTGTTTTCATTTTTGCAGTGCTGGGGATTGAACCAGGGCTGTGTGTGTGCCAAGCAAGTGCTCTGCGCTGGAGCTGTCACCAGATTGGCCTTCAGCTTACTGTCTTCCTGCCTCAACTTCCAGATAGCTGAGATTATAGACATGTACCACCATGTCTAGCTGCGTATATCATTTTTAATATCAGCAGCCCAGATCATCCTTGTGTAATTGTTTTAATTGTATCTTTATGATGCTACCAAATTGTAGTTCAGTGTTTGTGATATTTCAAATTTTGGTACATTTATCTAGCCTATACTTCAGGAAGATTACTTATTTATAATTTATAGACATAGCAATTTAACATGTAAATTTAATGTCTGTCACTCAGGAGAAGCTCCTGGCTGTTATTTTTACTTGTATATTTTTGCTTATTAATGAAACTTAATTATCTTATAGTTATCCTTTATATTCTTTTTAAAAAATGTATTTATTTGTTATTTATTTATTTGGTACAGGATCTCACTACGCAGCTCAGACTCACAATGATCCTTTTGTCTCAGCCTTCTAAGCCTTGGGATTACAGGCGTGTGCCCCCATGCTGGGTTTTAGGGGCTGGTACAGCAACATGGCATGTGGCACTGGGGATTGAACCTGGGTCCTTGCACTTGCTAGACAGGTGCTTAGACGGCTGAGCTATCTCCCCAGCCCATCGTTTGTATTCTAATTCTGTTCCAGTCCTTTACTTCTTTTATTTTAATTAATTAGTTTATTTTTCAAGGCTGGGATCAGAACCCAGGGTTTAGTATGTGCTAGGCAAGGACTCTGTCACTGAGCTGTGTCCTGAGTTCTTAAGCTTGCGTTTTGCAACAGCGTCTGGCAAAATTTCTCAGTCTGGCCTCCAGCTTTCAGACTGTGTGCCTTATCCTCCAACTGGCTGGGCTTATGTGTGTGCATCACCACACGCAACATCTTTTATGTTGTTTTTTTGTTTACTGATTTTTTTTGGGGGGTACTGGGAATTGAATTCAGGACCCCATGCTTGTGAGGCAGGCACTGTGCTGCTGAGCTATAGCCCCAGCCCCTCTCTTACGTATTTTAAAATAAATACTCCAGATTTTTGAAAGAGCACAATATATGTTAAGCTGTCCATATTAAGGACGCGGGCTCAGTGGAGTGCATGCAAAGGCCCAGGTTTCAACCCTCAGCAATTACAGCAGCAAAGCAGCTCAGTATCCGGTGTCTCTTTTCTTTTATAGTGCTCATATTCTGCCACAGTTCGTCCAGGATTGTGGAAATACTTGCCTACTTTTTTTTTTTTTTTGGTACTGGAGATGGAACTCAGGACCTTGAGCTTGCCAGGCAGGTGCTAATCCTGCTGAACTACCTCCCCAGCTTTTTTATTTTTTAAAGAGGATACAAAATAATGATAATAAAAAAGAATTAGAAATGATCCAGAATATCACTGAACAAAATACTATGAATTTGACAGCATTTGTTGTATTGTATAGTTTTGTCTTCAGATTGGTTGTTTAGATTACCAGGTATATACATGCAAAATTGGGGGAAAAAGTTACAAGAAATTAAGAGAAAACAAATTTAAGCTTTAACTGTTCCTTTCCATGGACCAGCAGAGAACAGCAGTACCTACATTTTATTCCAGTGTTTTTGCAATCTGATTTTTAGATCTAAATCTTTGATTTAGAATTTATTCTGGTGTCAGGTGTAAAACAAAGATCTAGTCGTTCTTTCTCTAAGTGATCAGCTCATTGACCTTGAGCCATTTACCCCGTGTCCTTTCTCCACTGAATTAGAAGTGCAGCATGTGTCGCATAATAGTATGGTCGTATCTGTTTCTGGATTTTTTTTTGGTACCAGAGATAGAACTCGGGACCTTGAGCTTGCCAGGCAAGCACTTCACTGCGCTCTTTCCCCGGCTCCTTTTCTGTCCTTAATCTATACTTTGGTGCAAGCCTCTGTAGTTTTTCTTTCTTAAATGAGAAAAGAATGATAAAGAACTTCAAAACAAGATGATAGGAAATTAACAATGGTTATTATAGTGCATATTGTTATCTTCAAAGTAGTTGCTCCAAAAGGTACAGTGGATACAGTCAGAGGAAGCTGCTCCAAAGGAAAGAACAGCTGGGATGGGGGCAGGGAGAGTCGGAAGGGTGGAGACTGCATAGTACACGCAGGATAGCTAAGGGAACTGCTGCTGGTGCTCTTAGTTCATTGAAAGGGACAGTGGGTGCCTACGTTGTTCGGTCAGTTTTGCAAGCATATATAGTTTTATGTAGGGTAGCTTTTATAATTGGCATAAGTTCTCCATTGTTTTCTTCTTTTGAAAGAAATGTATTTGTATTCTCCCAAGTGCAGAATTAAAGGGAACAGTCTGCATCTCTGTCTGTCTGCATTTGTCCCCACACCTGGGCCGTGTTGTCACCTGCATGTGTAGGGCTAGAAGAGGAGCGGACAGTGTTTCCATTGACTTCTCCCATGCTTTTCCCGCAGCCCCTCCCGGAGTCGGTGCCCTACGAGGAAGCGCTGGCAGACCGCCAGGTCCTCCTCAGCTCCACGGAAAGCCGGGCTGGGCTCGCACAGCAGGTAGGGCTGGGGGCCTGCGAGCAGTCACTGCAGAGCTGCCTGGTGCTCTGGGACAGGGCTCTTGCGATGTGTAGGGCGCATGGGACCCAGAAGACTCCTGGCATTAACTTGTAACTAACATGTGAAATTAGTTGTCCCTTGGTACTAAGAAGCGCTGGAGGCATAAGCAAAATCCTGCAGAACCCTAAATACTTGTTATGATGCAGTTGGTGCTACAGTCCATGCAAGATGGACCGCGATGACTGATTCTTTGGACACTGATCCAAGTATCCTAAGTAATAAGACTACAAAAGGGAGCTCTAGAGAGCTGGCTTTTGATTTCACTTAAATGAGCGAGAGTGGAACATTTCCAGTGATTAATTTTTTTAGGGAAAGGTGGACAGCTGTTCAGGGTCTTACTACTAGATTGGACTGGTAGTGATCTGCCTGTTTACAGCCTCCCAAGAGCTGGGATTATAGGCATGATCCACCATGCCCAGTCTCACTTGCTGTCTCAGTGTGCCCCAGGGGGCAGGGCCGGCACGGTAGGCCTGGGGATCGAACTCCTGCCCCCTGCACCTGCTTTTAGGCTCTTTAATCCACTGAGCTAGTTGACTGGCCTTATTAATTGGTCTGTTGAATTTGAGTAGCAAATGAAAGTAGAAGATACAGTTCCTTTCAGAACTTGGTCCCAAGATCAGTTTAGCCTTTATCAGAGATGTATTTGTTCTGTTTAATATCTGTCTTGCCTTTAGTTTTAGAAATAAAGAGAACACAAATTTACATGAGACAGTGTTCTGTCAGTGATATCCTCACGTCTCATTAGATAGCATCACTGACTTCTGCTACCTCAGTGCGCCGCAGCCGTCACCTGCACGGTGATTCCTGAGAAACACGACTCTTCACACACAGTCAAATGTGGAATGCATTAACAGTTATTTAAAAAAAATTTTGTACCAGGGATCAAACTTAGGGCCTTGCACTTGCCAGGCAGGCATGTGCTGCTGAGCTATCTCTCCAGCCTAAGACTTTTTTTTTTTTTTTAGTTATTTATTTATACATTTATTTATTGTGTGTGTTGCCAGCTCAGCCCACCAGGGGGCGGGGCTGGCTGGCATGTGGTGCTGGGGGATCGAACCGCGGTCCCTATGCTTTGGCAAGCTTGTTCCAAGTAGGTGCTTTTAGACCACTGAGCCATCTCTCCAGCCCCTAAGACGTTTTTTTTGGAACGTAAGAAAAGGCTGAAAGCAATCAAGTGAGTTGTATGCAAAACAGCTGACTAGTGAATCACCTGACCTCAGTGCAGCAGCTGGTTGTGCTGTGCCACTGGCGACCTCCCTCCAGCTGCTGAGAGTGCACTGAGCCAGCAGGTGACAGTGTGGCAGCAGAGGTGTGGACCTGGGCCAGCAAGCTGGGCTCCCACATGCTGGCTGTGTTTTCTAGCTTAGCAAATGAGCCCTCATTCACTGAGAAATAAGAATGTAGAATTACTAGGGGGCCGTACTGGGATAATTGGAAGAAAGTGCCACAGACAGTGCCTGCAATATGGGAGTTGTTCAGCTGTGATAGTTGGCAGACCATTTAAGTTTACTGTAAGATTGCTTTTCTTTTCATGTAATTCTCAAGCTTTTATTTCTGCTGAGAATTAGTGTTTCAACTTCTTGTTAATATGTACCAAGCTGGAGATGATGGTGCACTCCTGTGATCTCTAGGAGGCCGAGGCAGGAAGCTCACAAGTGGAAGCGCAGCCTGAACAACTCGGTGCTTTACTGGACCCTGTCTCAAAGCATGAATACAAACAGGCCAGGTATAGCTCCCTGCAGAGGCCCGGGGTTCAGTTCCAGTATCATGATAAACAAAGTGTCACATGCTTACAGAAAATATACAAATCACTAACACATCCCATTGAATTTTCATAAGTGAGTATTAAATATAACCAGGACCTAGATTTAAAAAGAGAGGGAGCCAGGCACAGTGGTGCACACCTGTAACCCCAGAGGAGGCTGAGGCAGGAGGATCAGTGTGAGTTCGAGGCCAGCCTGGGCTACAAAGTGAGCTCGTTGCCAGCCTGAGCTGCATAGCTAGACCCTGTCTCAAAAAGACATAATAAAGGGAGTGGAGGGCTGTATTTCTCTATGTAAAGGATATTCTAGACAAAATTTACCAGGGCCCAAGGAGCCTTCCCCAGACTGTTTTCCGAAGCTGCTGTGCCCTCCCAAAGCTCACCATTCCCGAGTTCTCGCGCCAGCAACGCCGCCTTTTATTGAGTGCAGTTCCACTGTTTACACTTCATCCCATCTGCTTTGAGGCAGCTCTGTGGGCATGAGAGTCAGCGCGCTCCGCAGACACAGCCACTTGGCATTTTCTCTTTTGAACATGGGCTGGAGGCCCTCTGCCGTGATAGTTGCTGCCATTGAACAGCTTTTCCTTCTGTTTGCAGTCTTGTTCCAGGGCCTGCTCTGGTCTTCTGTTATTTCTACCTGTTTTTCTATTAGGTCTCCTTTTCTTCCTCACTTGTAAGACTTTCTTGTGTTCTGGTATTATATCTGTTGAATGCTTCACAAGTTAATTTTCTATTCCTTGTCTTTTCTTTTACTCTCTTAATGAAGCCCTTAATAGAGGTTTTATTTTACTTTAGTTCAATTTCTCATTAAAGGTTGTAAACCAAAACTGCCTCTCAGAGGTAAAAACAGTAACACCTGCCCCTGTATAGTAATTCTCTCCCCATTCCAGGGCCAGGCTTCATTGTTTTTACCTCTATAAGGTAATTTTGGTTTACATTTTGTAAAGCATTTTTGGCTATTGCTGGGGTCTAAAATGTCCTCCGAAGGTGTGTGGAGTTGAGGGTGTGGTTGCCAGCGTGTGGGCTTTGGGCAGTGGCCAGCTCCTGCTGCCTCGTCCGTTAGGCTTTGGGGCCCGTTGGAGGCATGGGTTGTGCGCGAGGCCTAACACTGTCTCCTGTCCCTGGCCCCTGCTCTCTGTGTTGCCCGGTGCCATGAGGAGAATGGCCTCCTGCCAGCGCGCCCTCGGTGTCCTGGCGTTCTGCTTGCCCCCGGCCGTGGGCAGTGGGCCTGGCCAGCTGTGGGCTGACCCTCTGATAGCACGAGCCAACAGTTGCATTAGGTGTTTTGTCACAGTGACACAAAGCTGATTAACACAGCTGCCGAGTCCTGTCCACATCATTCCTCAGATACACAACTCTGCCTTACATTTTAAGGTTCAACAGAGTTTAGAAAAGATTTCTAAACTGGAACAGGAGAAAGAACATTGGATGTTGGAAGCCCAGTTAGCCAAAATCAAGCTAGAAAAAGAAAACCAGCGAATTGCGGATAAGCTAAGGAGCCCCAGTGGTGGGCAGCTGGCTGGGCTGGCCCAGGATAATGCTGCCATGGTGAACCGCGCCGGCCAGGATGCAGCTGCTACGAAGGCCGCAGTGGAGCCTGCTCAGAGCACCAGTCTGGTGAGTGCTTCTTGGCTGTCCATGGTTTTCTTTTTCATGTACTCGATGGTAAGGGTCTAACCTAGTGTTCAGTGTGGACTGTTGTCTCAGTCCATCCCAGTGCTCCAGCAAAATACTATAAGCTGGGTGACCTACAAGAATAGAACTCTCCTCGCAGTTCTGGAAGCTGGAAAGTCCAAGATCGAAGTGCTTTTGTGGGTCTGGGGTCCGGTAAGGGTGTGTTTCCTGGCGCGCGTGTGGTGGCCCCGGCAAGCAAGACCTCTGGCGCTCTTTCGTAAGGCCCCAATCTCTTGCAACCCTCTCCCTCAGCCCCCACCCTCTAGTCCCATCACTTGGGGCCTTGATCTGACATAGGAACTTTGGAGAGTGAGAGTTCAGACCGTAACAGCCGTTTAAATTATAAGCTGTTTAGTTTATAATGGGAGGGAGCCGTGTGTCTGCCGAGAGAAGCAGGTGAGCGAGTAGGCTATCTCCTTCCAAAAGCAGCTGCATAGAGTTCCCTGCAATTTTATGCCATCTGTCCCCTTGGTGAAACGAACCTCTTTGGAAAAGATGTAGGAAGTCAATGTCAGGTGATTCTGTACTTTTATAAAAGCATGTCTAGTGTTTTGGGTTTTTTTATTTGTTTTGTTTTTTGAGATAAGAGTCTTACTGTGTAGTTCATGCTGGTCTTGAACCCAGCATTTAGCCAGGCTGGCCTCACACTCATGATGATCCTCCTGCCTCAGCTTCCGAGCGTTGGCACCGTCATGTGCCACCACTCCAGGCCCCTTGGCATAAGTACTTTTTAAATGAGAGAAAAAGTAAGTGCTGCGCCAGTTTCACTGAGTACAAAATTGTGGCTCTTCAATGAAAAAGTATTACAGAAGACTGCTTCCCAGCTGGTGAGCAGGGCGACTGCCAGCGCGCTCAGCTCTCTGCTCCACCAGCGCTGGAGTGTGTGTTGTTAGGAATAGGTGGGAACTGCCTGTGCAGTCTCCAGTTAGCGAAATCCACCGGAAGAGAATCTCCCAAGTTTTCTTCAGTGATCGTGCCCACATCTTCCCCGTTCACCTTGAACTGTGACCTGAATTCAGCAGTCACGACTGTTTGTTTTGTTTTCTGAGAGGGTCTTGCTGAGTGTCCAGGCTGGCCCTGAAACCCTCCTGCCTCAGACTCCGCCTCCCGAGTGCTGGGATTACAGGGCTCATTTTCTCGGCCTGCATCCCCTGCACTCAGTAGGCCAGTGTGCACCGAGAACGTTTACAGATGTTGAACCTGTTGTGTGTGAAATGTGAACTTCTAAAGACCCTTCTCCTCTTCCAGAGTGGGATTTTAACCAGGACGCCTGACAGCGAGGTACCGTGCTTGGCATCCTGTTGTCTGTGCGTAAATGCCTGCTAGCGTGCTTGTTGGCAAAGTCCCTGCAAGCCAGCTTCATCTGCTGCTTTCCTGACAGCTCCAGCACGTGCGGAGCCGGGGCTTTCCTCTTCTGTCAGTGGATTCGTGTTGCTCTTCTCTCTCTTTCTGTTTTAACTGCTTTTCTGACTGCTTTCTTGAGTGCCTTGCCTGGGCAGTTTTGAGACGGTGTGGCCTGTGCAGCCTCCTGCTGGCGTGTGCGTGAGGCACAGGGCCTCGATGGGCAGCATGCGTGCGTGTGTGCGTATGTGCGTGCATGGAGTGAGCAAATGTAGGCAGACATGGCTTGTCGTACAGGATTGCATGTTTGCGTTTAGAAATATTCTAAGATGTAATAACTTTACAAGTAACTGTCAACAAAGCTGAAGTTATCCAGTTCACCCTTCAGTATGGCAGTCTGATAAATACAGTTCAAGTACATTGGTAAAACCTTTGATTTCCTAGGTAAGCTTGAATGTTTGTGTGTATTTTTTCCCTTCAGCAGTGGGTACTGAACTGAGAGGCGCCCATCACTGGGCTACATTTCAGGCCCTTTTTATTTTTTATTTTGAGGCTTAGTCTTGCTAAGTTGCCTAGACTGGCCTCAATGTAAAACAGTCTCCTGCCTCAGCCTCCTGGTCAGTGGGATTCCCAGCATGCACTGCTGCAGCTGGCTGCTCACTGTGTCCAGGTCAGAGAACTAGGAGTCCTGCTGGTGTGGACCAGATGCTGACAGAGAAGTAGTTTGCTGGTGCGCAGTCAGGTTGTTCTAAGATAACTTAAAGATAAAATGCAGTCCCGATAAGTGTTCCTCCTGCTGTCCCTTTCCAATGAGAAGAGGGCACAGAGCTGGCAGATGGAGTGTCAGAGCCAGGTTTGCAGCTGAGGGAGGCTGGATGGAGGACTCAGCTCTGCCCACCTCAGGGTCTGAAGCCCCATCATGCTGAGAAGGGCAGAGCTGAAGGAAAAAAACACTGGGAATGTCCACTGCCTTGCCACGGCTGGGGCTGCTTTGTGAGGTGTGCAGACTGTGATGCCCCTTCCAGCTTCAGGGGCGGGTGTGCCCAGTGAGGTCCTTGTCTTCTGTCTAGAACTCTGTCGTCTCCTGTGTTTGCTGATGTACGTGCTCTCTTTAGGTCCCGGATGTAGACTCTCGTGAAGACCTAATTAAGAACCACTACATGGCCAGGGTGGTGGAGCTCACATCGCAGCTGCAGCTGGCTGACAGTAAGTCGGTGCATTTCTACGCCGAGGTGAGTGGGGCTTCCACAGGACTCAGGCACTGGGCCCTCCTCTGTGGGAGACAGCCGGGATGTGTGCCTCAGGCCGACCGGAGCCCATACTTTGCTGGCGTGCCACCTGCAATCTCCACTGTAGCAAATAGGAGCACAAAACAAGTCTCTGTGAGATAGCTGGGGGCTTCATGTGGCCTGGTCTTCCCTGTGGGCGCATGATGTGTGGTCTTTTTTCTGTTTTCATGCTTTCTTTTGAGGCAGGGCCTTAGCTTTCGAGCTCAGGGAGCTTAGGGCCTGGAACTCACTGTGCAGCTCAGGCCAGCCTTGAACTTGCAGCAGTTACCCTGCCTCAGCCTCCTGCGTGCTGGCATTGTGGGCGGTGCCACCACCTCCCACGCATATAGATGCTTTGCACTATTACTATTAGAGATTTTGTGCTTTAGAGTGAAAGACATTGATCCTTTTAAATAATGCTTCAGTTTTTCAATAAGTATGTAGCAATGATTTGTGATAAATAGGATAAAAAACATGACCTTTTCAATCTTTAAGATACATAATCTTTTGTTACTTTTTCTTCCTTTGCTAATGATTTTCTGTTGAGAATTAGAAAACCATTATGCAGTACAATACTGAAGCTTACAGAGTAGAAGGGAAAAAATGAAAGAAGAAGGTTTGGGTACCAGAGTGCAGTGAGGAGCGGTTCCCTTTCAAGTGCTCCCCGATCAAGTGCTCGTATGTGTGCAAGCTCCCCCAGCCCGCTCCCTCCCCCTCCCCCTCCCTCCTTCTCTTCCCCTCCCTTCTTCCCTTCTCCCCCTCCCTCCTTCCCTTCCCCTCCCATCCTCCCCCCACCCCTCCCTCTCTCCTTCTCTCTCTTTCCATTTTCCCACCTTCAAAAAAAATCATCTGTTGTGTATTAAAAGTGGTTAGGTTAGATATATAGTTACATTCTCTTAATGAATAGAATGATTTGTTCTGATGGTGTTTGTAGATAGGATATCATGTCCGCATCTTGTACAGCAATTAACTACTGGGAAGAATGTATGCAATGTGTTGATTATTGAAACTGTCCTACCAATTTGATTTGAAACTGTCTCATTGCTTTTTATCAATAAAATTATGAAAAAATAAAAAAAATTTTTTTTTTAAATCATCTGCTTTTACTTTATAACAAAAAAAGAGACCAACAAATGAGTGGTAAGATGAATGGCTTTTGCTCAGCAAGGAAGGCCTTTATGGCTTCCAGTATAAAGCTTCCTATTGAAAGGTCAGTTGAGGTGACAGGTAGAGAATTACACTGCATCCAATTCTTAAAGAACTTGAACATGAAAAGTCAGTGCGCTTTGTTGGACCTGACTTTATCTCTGATTTTCTCCTACACTGCAGAGGTGGGGAGAGATGTGGCTGGGAAGTCCAGGTGCTGGAAGTGGGACAGGGCTTTACTCCTTCGCCTGCCAAAATAAACAAGGTGCCTAGCGCAGTAGGGTTGCCGGCAACTGAGGTACCCGTGTATACTGAGCGGGGCACTGGTGACAGCTGCTGGAAGGATGGGACCGGCCGTGACGGGCAGCAGTCACACAGCACTGGCCCCCCCCGTGCAGGGCAGCAGAGCAGCCTGTCCCTGTGGGCGGGCTCCCTGCTGCCTTCTGAGTTAGTGTCCCAGCGGGAGGCCGTGTTGTCTCCTGAGCACCCTTGTGTCCCTCTCTGTCAGGCTCAGTGCTAACCGTAGCGCAGGGAGGTTGGTTAACAGGTGGCTTAGTGCCCTGCTGTTTTCAACAAGCGAAATGAGTACTGGAGAACTTTTTAGGCCATTTTGTTTCCACGACATATGACTGTTTTAGTAATTGTCTTCAACACAACTGTGAACTTTTAGCTTGTCCTAGTTTTTCCCATGTGTGAACAGGAAGTGGTGTCCCCTGTGTGACTTCACTGGAAGGCAAGGGTGAGCATCTGACACCGACCCAGAGCTCATGTGTGTCGTCAGGCCCTCCTGTTAGTCCCATTAGGTGCCTGTGCAGGAGGGCTGGGGACCTGCGGACAGCAGGGGAGTGGGAGCGCCCTTCTCACCTGTGGCAGCTTGCGGGAAGTCCTTCAGCACTGCCTATATCCCAGCCTGGACAGAGCATTGCCTGTCCTGTGGCTGAGACCGCGGTCTCCAAGGGCGGGCCTCACACACGAGAAGAGTGTCACAGGATCCAGTATCAGAAGGCGGTGGTCAGTTTTATTTTTATTTATTTATTTATTTATTTTTTGGTGGTCAGTTTTAAAATAATCACTTTTTTCATCCATCATAAGTATAAATTAATCCTGGGTAAATGTAAAGAGTTTGCTTTTTGTGACCACTGGGCCCTTAGGCCAGAGGTAGGAAATAACAGATGAGCTTGAGTTGTTGGCCTTTTTCCTAGAGGGTAAGGCTGTGTCTTCCATGTTCTCTGTGTGTGGCACAGGTAGATAGCTGTGGAGTGGGGGGGGGGTGGAAGGAAGGAAGGAGGGATGGATGGATGGTTTTTACCTTTGGGGATTGTTTTCTAGTAACTTTCTCTGAAGCAAACTTGGTTTTGGAGTGCTGTCCTAGAAGTGGAATGTTTTCTGATTTTATAGTGCCGGGCACTCTCTAAAAGACTAGCGCTGGCTGAGAAGTCTAAGGAGACCCTGACAGAGGAGATGAAACTCGCCAGTCAGAACATCAGCAGACTTCAGGTGAGTGCGCGTGTTAGCTGCGCAGGCCTCGAGTGTTCTCCTGGAGAGCTCGTGGGGAGCAGTCGGCCTTCCCTGTCAGCGGTGGCTTCTGAGCGCTACACGTGCTTCCCCTAACCGCTTTATTTCTATCTTAAAGTAACATCTTAATTACGTCAGGCAAAAAATGATTACTTCTCTGACATGATCATAATCTTAATTTTTTTCTATAGTTAGAGTTTGTTTAAATAATAGTTATATACCCACAAGTCCCCCTACTCTTTCTTTTTCTCTATAAATGCTCTTCCCCGCGGGCTGTAGGCTTTTCTGCACACAGCACGTTGTGCTTTTTCTTTCCTGTTTGCCTAAAGCTGACCTGAACTGAGAGGCTGGGCTGCCCGGCCCTCAGCCTTCTGCTTTCTTCCGAAGCCTGGCTTTCCCGAGGGCTCCTCTTCGTGTCAGCCTGATGCCAGGCGAAGGCCCAGCTGCCCCTTTCCTCACAGCAGTGAGGGGAGTGTGAGGGCTGGAGGAGAGGTGGGGCTCTGCGGCGGGCCTGAGCACAGCGCCGAGGCCGCTCCACCCTCTGGTTTCACCGACTGTGTTATATCTGTCATGGAAGGAAGCCCTTGGCGCTTTGCAAAGAAATTAAGTGCACATTTTGAAAATTGAGAGAAAAATGTTCTCCCTTTCTTTTAATTTCATTCCTGTTAGGCTTGTGCTTTAACCTTCTTGTTAGTCTGTCAATTGGGCCATCTTGATAGGTTGCTTTTGCAGATTTCTTAAGTAAATGTCAGAGTGGGGAGGCGTGACCGTGTTCAGTTCCTCCCTCATGCCGCAGGACGAGCTGACGACCACCAAGCGCAGCTACGAGGACCAGCTGAGCATGATGAGCGACCACCTGTGCAGCATGAATGAGACGCTGTCGAAGCAGCGGGAGGAGATCGACACCCTGAAGCTGGCTGGCAAGGTGTGCGGGCGAGCGCTGGGCGCCTGCAGCATGGCGCTGAGTGCAGCTAGGCGGGTCGCTGGGCTCCGTGTGTGCAGGAGCTGAAGGCTGAGGGATGGGACTGCTCGTGAGGGCTTTCGCTTAACATCACTGATCCTGTCCAAAAGTAAAACCAGATTTCTTTGGCTGACTTGTCAGCTGCCAAGGCCTGCCTGCCGAGGCCTTAGATCCCGGGCTTGCTGCTTTGTGGCAAAGGGTTCAAACAGGAGACTTGTGGGTTGCTCTGTTCAGATGAGTCTAAACAGGGCCTCTGAAGAGCGACTTCAGGAGATGAGTTCCCGTGAACGTCTGTAACCTGCAGAAGGCTTCCCCGTTTAATCCCAGCTACTTCCTCTGATTTCTTCTCATAAAGCCTCTGCTTTCCAAGGCCAGGTCTGTAGACGTGCAGGTCCTGTCCTTTTTGCCCGGGAGGGGGGACTCCAGGCCCTGGGGGTGGTCACCCAGGTGCTTAGTGTGTCAGTCACTCACCAGCTCTTCACCGCCAGCAGCTGGAACTGCGGGTCCCAACTCCTGGCTCTGCAGCTGCCCCCACCTCAGCAGGGGGCAGTGCTGGCCTGAGTGACAGCTCCGTGCGCTGGAGTGGAAGTAACGGTGACTGAGGAGCTTTGGTTCAGCACCTGCTAGTGGTGAGGGCAGGTTCTGCAAGCCTGTGCTGTCCTTAGAAAATGCATCCCGTTAGTGCATTGGAACCCACATAATATAATTTTTGTTTTTCAGCATAGTTTCATGCTTTTCACTGACCTCCTTTGGAGATGTATCTGCTGCTTTCCTGGGCCCTCTCTGATGACTGTAGACAGCCCATGTGGTTCTGATTATGGTTCTCTGGTTGCTGGCTCTCAGGAAACGTGAGCCTGGAGGGGGCTGGTCCCCTAGAGAATGTCTCCATGACCCTTACCCCTCTGGCCCGTGGTGCTCCAGTAGGGCAGCATCTGCCCCACCGCTGGGTTCCTGCTAACAGTAGAAAGTACGCATATCGAAGAGGTGGTTCTGGTCTCAGGCAGTTTTTAAACAGATTTATCAGGACAGGTTTTCAGTCCCTAAGGATTACCTGCATGGTAGAGAGGTGGTGTGGATTTTTATCCCCGTCCCCTCTCCTTCCTGAAGAGGTTATGTTTCCATTTCACTCAGAACTGATTGTAGTAGTAGTGTGCGAAAAGCAGTGTTCGCGCCTGCCATTAGAGAAGTGCCAGCGACTCAGGGCACCTGAGGTCTCCAGAGCTGCGCAGGTGCAGGACTTGGGTCTGCGCTGAGAAGTGTAAGGAGCGCCGCAGAGCTGTGTCCCAGAGGTAGCTTGTCACAGTTACTCAAGTTAGGGAATGTTCAAGTTTTCTTGGAGCTTTTAAGTCTCTTCTTTTAAGCTCTTGAATGAGAGCTCTCTTTGCTTCGGAGTTTGTATTAGTAGCCTTTCTTTGATCATTTTGGGACCCCCCTTTAGTAGTACTTGACATTGCTGTAGCGACCTCTTCGCTGTGTTGACACATCTCCGCCGATACCAAGTAAACATCCTCAGCCATTTGTCTGCTGTTACTTCTCTAGTGTTTGCATTGTGCAGGCATTTTGCACTTGGAAGGAGAAAGTGTGTATATACCTAATGGCTTAGGAATTCCGTTAGAATTTATTCCTGAGAAGGGAACTCAGCAGAAAAGAAGCTATCCAGAACTAGAAAGCCCAGACCTTCCTGTGTGAGGGACCTGGAAGAAGATGAGCGCGCCTTTCCTCTCCCTTGTCCCATTCCCAAGCCCTTATGCACGCTCAGCCTTGACAGGTGGTCAGTGCCATGTGAGGGGCTCTTGGTACGCTTTTAGAATTACTGTCTGTTTAAAAGGTATTTATTGAACAGAATATTCAGCCCATGGAACCTTGTGTGTCGTGTCTTTGGAATAGGACAAATGCTTGAGGTTTTGCAAAATCTAGGTAGTAGCTTACTTTCCTTGTTGCCTGACCTGGAGCCCCCTGGAGCTAGGACCCGCAGCAGTAGCAGGCCAGGCCAGCTCACAGCGCTTCAAGGTTACTGCATAGAAGATAGCGGCAGCGTGGGGGCTGTCTCCCCTGGGAGGCCAGAGTGTTCCCAGGGACACGCAGCCTCTGGACGACTTAGTTTATAAACTATGTAAACTATTTTTCTGGAAGTTTTTGTTCTCATTGTTGATATTTTTCTTTGTGCAGGGAAATTCTAAAAAGAACAAGAGTCGATAGTTTACAAATAACTGCTTGGAGACGGACCCTTCCAGAGCCGCCGTATCTGCCCGAAGCCGCAGGCCCTCCTGTGTCCAGCACGCAGCCTCTGGGAAGCTGAGGTCTCTGACCCAGGAACCCTGGGAGCCCCGCGTGTTGTGCATGGCCCAGGCATTTACGTGCATTTGTGACCAGTAAGGCGAACACAGAAGTCGATGTTGGCAGTGAAGTGGCAAACATGACGTATACCATGGATGTTGTAGGTTTCCTTACGCTGTTTTTACTGTGCACTTTTTAAAATTAGGTTTTAATTTCAGTATGTAAGTATGACAGATATTTTGTATATTTTCAAACTCAAATATATGGTAATTGATTTGTTATCTATGGAATAGATATATGTTTCTGGATAAAATGCTTAAATTGTCAACTGTCATTACTTCTTACTATGATTGAGCGCAGTCTCCAGATTCTTTTGTAAAGCTCCGTTCCCACTGTCGTCCTCCCCCGCCCCCTTTCCTCCCTTCCCAGGAACAGGCCTTGCAGAGTTCAGATCCTGTGGGTTTATTATCATTGTCTTCAGATTTCCAGGACCCTTTCTGTCTTAGAGTAATAACTACAGGAAATTCATGTCAATAAATTCGTACTGATACCAAACTTTTAGTCTCTGTGAAAATTTAATGAAGGAAACTGAGACTTAACTAAAGTGGGCTTTGCCAAATCCATCAGACCTCATCTGACTTGGATCTAATCTTCCTGGTTCCTCATTAGAATCGTGGTACAGTTCCTCCTTTGTGCGGCTCCTGGGCTTTGTCTTGAGAGCTGCTCCTAGCCACATTTCAGGGGCACCGAGCCTGTGGGCTCCTGTTTTTTCCCATAAACGCTGCACTTCAGAGCACACCTCAGGGTGCCCCTGCCCGCCCTGCCCCGTGCCCTGGAGAGGCTGCTGCTTTCTCAGCTGCTGGTGGCTGGTGAGTGAGGGCCCCACCTCCCTTCCCTGGCCCTCCTTCGGCCTGCCTCCCCCTACCCTCACTGACTTCCTCCCTCCCTACTGCTTTCTTGGTCCCCTGGCTCAGCACAAAGGCCAACACAGCCCCCACCCCAGTCCCAAGTCCCCACAGCACTGAGAGTCTGGGGTCCTGGGTTAACTCAGTCCCATTTTTTCTAGTCCGTCAAGTCACTCTTGTGAGCCCTGCCAGACCCTGTTCTCTGTGCACAGAACCGGCTGTTCTCAGGGTGCCTGTGCCCAGGCCCCACACTTGTGACAGAAACAGCACAGGACCAGGCCTGGTATGAACTTGGGACCTGCCCTGGTATAGCACTGTCCACGGAAGGCCTTCGCTATTTTCAGGTCAGAGGTTTTAATAATGGCCACACAGGCAAAACCTGGGCCATTTGGCAGTGAGCTCTGAAGCTGCGAAGCCAGCCTGGCCCGGTGTCCTTGCTGTTCCCTTCCTGTGCCAGGGTGCACCTTTCCATCTCAGTTTCTTAGTCTACTGCTCCTTTCAACCCTTCCAGACAAATTGAACTGACCCAATTATGCCATCCTTTAAAAAGTCAAATTCCTGGAGTTAGAATCCTTACACTTGTAATTTACTTAGCATTTCTGTGCCTCAGTTTCCTCATCTGTAAAATGAGGGGATATTAATACCTACCTCCTAGGATTTTATGAGGATTAAATGAATTAATATTGTAAATGGCCCAGGAAAATACCCAGCATAAAGGTTTATTAGTAATAAATGTTACTGGTAATAGTCCTGATTTTGCTATTTGTTTTTTTTTCTCCTCTACTTTGCTCATGATGGCTGACTTCCCTCTTGCCATCATTCATTCTCTCCTTGACTTGGGCAGTTGTGGTCCTTTGTCCCCCACAGTGACAAAGTCATGTTGGTCAGCGCCGCCAGCCTTAGCCTTAACTGCCGCGTGCTGTGGCTCCTTTTCAGCCCTGCTCCTGCCCAAGTTCTCCAGAACATGTCACAGAGGAGAAACAGCTCGTGGTGGGGCAAGCCCACCCCAGCCCTGTCCGGGCCCCAGAGCCCCACCTATGAGAGCAGGAGGCCTCGGGGGATGTCTAGATACAGCCGTAACACCCGCTTTATTTGGGGTCTTTTCTTCTGTTGCTTTTTTAACACCTGTTTTGCTTGCATTCAACTTCTTATGTCGCTTGGGGTGTTGCAAGGGGAGCAAAACAATACAGGACACATTTTATAAGATGATTTTATAATGAATCACCCAAAGAAGCAGATACAAAGAGGGCAGGAAATGTGCCCACATACTAAAGACTAAATTTGAGAGGGCCTGGATCCTCGCATCCTGCACGAGTCTAGCTGAGGACCTAGAGCCCATAACAGTGCCCCCACGAGTCCAGCTGGAGGCCTCAAGTCCACAAGGAAGTCTCGTGCAGGACCGCTTCACAGATCTGTAGTGGAAGGCCCAAAGGTCACTGGTGGAAGTTGGGAAGTTTGCGCCAGTGGAATGAAGGCTCTGAGCCAGCAGGCTGCAGGATCTGCCCTGGAACAGGAAGCGACGCTCAAGGTAAGGCCTGGAGCTCCCCCAAAGTGAACTGTAGAAATTCTCAGTGACAACGAGGTCCCAAGCTCCTTTGACAATGAGAATGGCTGAGTTTACCAGGAACGCCACTGCGTCAAAGTCCCCCAGTAGAACAGCCCAAGAGAACCAGCAGCTCCCAACAGCTTTTCCAGACAGCGTCCTTAAGGAGCTGGGGAGATGGCTCGGTAGAATAAGCACTTCCCTGGCAAGCGCAAGGGTCTGAGTTCAATCCCTGGATCCGCCAAACAAATGCCTCCCAGCTTCTCTAGTTCTGCCTTAAGCTGCCGGCAGCACCCCTCAGCTGGGCCTCCCACACCCAGCACCATGCGGGTCAGTTCAGCTGGGAGTCACAAGTTGCCCACCAGCTGGCGTCCACCACACCCTCTGTAAAACTTTCGCCCCAGGCCCCCTTCAGCTGTCCTGCCTTCGCAATGTTAGTGTTTGGCCCATCCCGTTGATAGATGCGAGCCCTGCCCTCGCGTCACATCTTCTGAGCCACATGCGAGTTCTTGCTGCCTCGTGGCTGCTTGACCAGCGTCCCACGGGCAGCACACCATTTGGAAGTTGAAGGCAACACCGAATTCAGTTGCCCAGTTCCTTCCTTTTCTTTCATCTTCCCATCACCCCACAAGACCTGTTCTTACCTCCTGTTTCTCTCTTCAACGAGTATTACCATGTGCCGATGAATAAACTCGACATCTATCCCCGGGGTTGGGAAAGTAGGTAAAAGTACCTACCCACTCGCACTGTACTCTCTTTGTGGAGGGGGCAAATGCCTGGTAACGTGCAGAAGGTGGAGGCGCTGAGCAGAAAATAACCAAGCTGAGGGGTGGGGCGGGCACAAGGACTTGCTGGACCACCACCAGCAGGGCAGGAGCTGCGAGCAAAGCCCTGAGACGTGAGGCCAGCAGACGCGCGGCCTTCTGAGGTGCAGCGTGACCTCGGACACAGTGCTCCGATCTTCAGCTTTAATTTGCATATTCTGGTCCACAAACCTTGCCAACCACCAAAAGTGGAATTTAGTGTATTTTTGCCGCTGCTGCCCCTTTCTTCTTCTGTTGTCATTCCTATTTTGGGATGATTCCAACATGCGTAGCAGTGGAGCAGTGCGCGCCAGCCCCGTGTCTCACTCACGCCTCACAAGCATTCTGCTCGGCTTGTTGTACCTTTTTTCCTCACTCCTTTTTTCCCTGGTGTGTATTAAGGCAATTCCCAGACGGCGGCTTGTTTCATCTGTAAATTCTTCGGGTCTGCCTGCCTTCGCAGTCCTAAACCTGTCCTGCCCAAGTCACCCTTCACCAAGCTCGCCCACCCGCGTGTGCACGCATGCGTGGCTGCCCAAATGGTCCACGGCAGAGGCTGAAGCTGGGCAGGGTGACCTAAGTACACACTGGAAACTCTCAGGCCTGGGCCAGTAAGCAATAATTCACGGAGGCTGGTTTTTTCCACCTAAATCTCTGTATTTGTTATTAAAGTTAGGAGCTGAGAGTCAGCCTGTTCCAAAATTTTATCACTAGGATAAGCCAAAACAAGAAACAGTCGTTTGCGCCTTTGTGGTCTCCAGAGAAAACTGTGGCTTGGGATCTGTACTTCCAAATAGCAGTGCTTGACCTTCTGTTCTGAAGCGCAGCACGCTGCCCTTGCCTTGGAAGGCGGAGATTTGCCTGTTGTCCCTGCCTTGCTGTCCCCACCACACTCGAGCACATAGACACCTTCTCTCTGAGCTAGTCACCGGCGCGCCTTGGCTAGGGCACCGTTCAGTGTGTGCTTCACTGTGACTGTTGGAGTTCTAGTGGAAGCTGGTCACAGAGTGTGTGTTCGCTCGTCCTTCCCTGTGTGACGCCTCCTTTTCCCTGGAGTTAATTATCTTTTACAAAAACTTGTTTGCTCTGTTTTCTGTGGTACTCCCCACTAATTGATTTTTCAGTTCTTTCTCAGGAGCATAACTTTTCTGTATGGCCAGTTCAATTGGGTGCTCAGCCAACTTCGAAAGCCTCACACCAAGCATAGGGGTGCACGCCTATAATCCGAGCCCCTGGGGTGGCTAATGTGGGAGGACAGTTGGAACCTAGGAGTCTGAGGCCAGCCTGGGCAACATAGTGAGACCAAGCCTCAAAGGGAAAAGGAAAAGGCCCTCTTGGTTGATCTTCGGGCTGGAGCCCTGCCGTTGTCCAGGGAGCCCTGCCTAGACCTCTTTGTAACCTCCAGCCCATAGGCCTTTCCAGTCCTGTTCCCCTACCTGCTTTGCATCCTCCTCTCAAAAACAGCTCCACTGTCTAGACTTATGACATAGAAAGTCAAAAATGGGAAAAAATTCTCAGCATAGACACAGCACAGGGACTCAGGTAGTTGGCTGAAATTTGCATAGAGTGAAAGCCCAAACCAAAAACCGTATTGGCAATCAATCATGTGTGGCTTTCTGCAGATGGATTTTCAGAATTTGCTGAATGACCATTCCCACTCTTTCTTGTATAGCACATGCTCGTTGTTGAACATTTGGAAAAGTATCCAAAGTACACATCTCAGTCAGATGTGGTGGCCCACAACTGTCATGCCAGCACTCTTGAGAGACTGAGGCAGGAGGAAGATGGAGAGTTTGAGTCCAGCCTGGGCAACTTGGTGAGACACAGGCCTCAAAAAAGTACACGTCCAAGGGCTGGGATACAGCTCAGTGTGAAGGTTATGGCTTCAGTCTTTACTACTGCAAGGGAAGGTGCAGCACAAGGCTCACGTGGAGATTCAACTGCATTAGCGTCTTCATTCCTCTCTTACTCATGCACGTATAGGATACATTTCAAATAAAAATTGTGCGTATGTGATGAGGAATTCCAAATGAGACTGCTCAGAAGGGCGGGGCACTGGATTACCTGATGTCCAGCTCCAGGGGGCGCCACTTGTGGGGTCTACAGCCAACAGTGAATGAGGGTCAGGCGTCCGCATGGCCCTGGGTCCCGTGGATGTCAGCACCACCCGCCAATCAGCTGTCCATGCAGTGCTGCTTGCTTCTCAAGGCTGAGGAAACTGGGCTCTCCACTGCTTTTAGTGAGATGGTAAGAGACCCGCTCCATCAGATAACAATTTTTTTATTAGTACCTGTTCATTGCTTGTGATACATAATTAACGAACTTATTTAGGGCAGCCGGTAAGTGAACATGACATATCTTCA